GTGTGTGTGTGTGTGTGTGTGTTTGTGTGTGTGCATGCGTATTCGTGTTCGGAGAGGGGGGTTTCTTCAGTTGGTTGACATGGCAACGCAACACTACCAACAATCGTTTAGTGCAGTGAATGTTAGTTAACGCAATGTGTTGACTACGGTGTCTGAGCCGTTGCACCAGCCTTCTCGTTATCTTTGTGTTGTTTCTCATATTTTTGGACACCTATTTGTCCTCTATCAGAAATTCGTAGACAAGATCGTCAAGGAACAGGCGTGGGTGGAGCATCTGGTTGGTATGGCAACGCAGTACCATAGCAACGCTCTAAAGGTCAGCGATAGCGATGTGGTGCCTGCGGGATGGGAGGAGTGTGCGCTTTTGGCGGCAACTTGTCTCTTGTTTATCGCCACACGAGAAAGTTATTCTGCACAGCAGGCGGTTAAAGATTTAGGTATTGTGCCAGTGCGTGTGTTTGATGTATACGTATACATACATACGAGTATTTTTAAACAGTGTGTACACGCGTTTGATTTATACGTATCCGTGTATACGTGTATGTTTGTGTGTGCAGGCGGTTAAAGATCCCGATAATTTGACAGTACATGTTTTTGATGTATGCGTATTCGAATATACCTGAATATTTGTGTGTACCCGTGTTTGATATATACGTATCCGTGTATACGTATACGAATATACCTGTATGTTTGTGTGTACCCGTGTTTGATATATACGTATCCGTGTATACGTGTATGTTGGTGAGTACATGTATTTGATGTATACGTATTCGCATATACGAGTATGTCTGTTCTATATATATATATATGTGTGTGTGTGTGTGTGTATAACTCTATTATCTTGGCCACGCTACTTACACTTTCGCCCGCCTCCTTCGACATGTGCAGATTCTGGTGAAGATGGCGATGGCAGTATGTCCATCCAGACAGTGCGCAGTGACGCACACTTTCACTATGTTTTGGCGCAAGAGAACTCCCGCGAGTTGACAGCCTTGGTGAAACTCATGCAAGCGGTGGACCCCAACGATATCGTTTCCATGGCAACGGATGAGTCATCATCATCCTTCCCAGGAGCCAATCAGATATCCTTATTCGTTCCCAGCAGCCAGAACGGCGCCATGAACCGAGTCAACGGCCGCGTTACCATGGCAACGCCCAAACCGGTGGTGGAGTACTATTCGGACTTCAGTATTGTTATCATGCATGCGGTGTACTACGGTGTGTACGCCTACACGAGTGTGCACTGCAACACGGAAGTCAAACTGATCACCAATCTCTTGGACGGCCCGTGGAAGAGCCGTACGCTGCAGGTGTGTTACTTTATTTGTGAGATGCAGGTGTGTTACTGTACTTGTGAGGTGCAGGCGTTATACTGTACTTGTGAGGTGCAGGCGTGTTACTGTACTTGTGAGGTGCAGGTGTGTTACTGTACTTGTGAGATGCAGGTGTGTTGCTGTACTTGTGAGGTGCAGGTGTGTTACTGTACTTGTGAGGTGCAGGTGTGTTCTGTACTTGTGAGGTGCAGGTGTGTTACTGTACTTGTGAGTTGCAGGTGTGTTACTGTACTTGTGAGGTGCCACTTACTGGTGTCTGTGGAGGACACAGGTCATGGCTGAAGTTGTATAAGTAAACATGGATGTGTATATCATGTACATGCACATTTGTGTATATGTATGGCATAGATAGATGTATATATCATATACATGCTCATTTGTGTATATGTATGGCATAGATAGATGTGTATATCATATACATGCTCATTTGTGTATATGTATGGTATAGATAGATGTATATATCATATACATGCTCATTTGTGTATAAGTATGGCATAGATAGATGTATATATCATATACAGGCTCATTTGTGTATATGTATGGCATAGATAGATGTGTATATCATATACATGCTCATTTGTGTATATGTATGGCATAGATAGATGTATATATCATATACTGCTCATTTGTGTATATGTATGGCATAGATAGATGTATATATCATATACATGCGCATTTGTGTATGTGTATTTCATAGTTGTATATATTATGTACATGCACATTTGTGTATATGTATAATATATGTAGCAGAGGCTTCGGATGCCATGCACTTCCTTGTCACTGAGTCGTCCCTACAGACAGTGGGTGCTCGTGTGAGACTATACCTCTTGTGCTTTATATAATCCCTTGCTCATGTGTGTCTGGTGCGTGCGTGCGTGTGTGCGTGCATATCTCTCGTCACACACCTTATCTACATGTATATGTATGCACACTATCTATTTGCATGCAGAGTGTCTACTCGTTGTTCCTCGCAACAACCATGGAGAGGGGTCTGGTCGATGGCGACACAGTCCAGCACGACGAGTATCTGGCTAAAGCACTTCAGCACACAGTACCCGCTACAGATAGAGGTAAGCAACGCACACTACTACGACAGAGTCATGGTAGCCTTTAAATGATCGTGTATATATATATATATATATATACAAGTATACAATGCAGTATGCGGCAAGTGAATGCACATAAGTAATTTATAGATCTAAAGAGATCTACTAGCGAATGCATACGAGTATTTGATAGATCTAAAGAGATCTACTATCGAATGCATATGAGTAATTGATAGATCTAAAAAATGTCTACTAGTGAAGGCATACGAGTAATTGATAGATCATCTACTAGCGAGTCTATACGGGCAATTGATAGATCTAACGAGATCTACTAGCGCATGCATATGAATAATTGATAGATCTATAGATATCTACTAGCGTATGCTACTAGCGTATGCTACTAGCGCATGCATATGAATAATTGATAGATCTATATATATCTACTAGCGTATGCATATGAGTAATTGATAGATCTATAGAGATCTACTAGCGCATGCATATAAGTACTTGATAGATCTATAGGTATCTACTAGCGTATGCATATGAGTAATTGATAGATCTATAGAGATCTACTAGCGCATGCATATAAGTACTTGATAGATCTATAGATATCTACTAGCGTATGCATATGAGTAATTGATAGATCTATAGAGATCTACTAGCGCATGCATATAAGTACTTGATAGATCTATAGAAATCTATGTACGCGTGTGCGCAACACAGGTATGCCGCGAGCATCCACGAGTATTTCAGTCGTGTACTGCAGTATACTTCCAGAGCATGTGTCTAGCGTGCACACAGGAGTTCAGTTTACATGTGAGTGTGTGCACGCAGTTCATATGTGTGTGTGTGCACACAGTTTACATGTGATTGTGTGCACACAGTTCACATGTGACTGTGTGTGTGAACGACCGCACAAGTTAATACCTATCGCGAGGTACACACTGTTGCGTATCTCGTCAGTCTGCACGCATCAGGCAAGCTTCAGCTGAACAGATGTTGTGGCTGTGAGTGCACACAACCACACATGACAGAGACATGGATACACGCACGAATACCATATACCTGTCAACACTCATGCGCACAGAAAGGTTGGCATGATGATCCAAGCTATTGGGAAACGATATCTAGGTATTGCTATAGATGTACATAACATTCATCAGTGAACGATGCGTAAGTATTGCTGTTATGTATGGTAGAGATGGTAACGCGTATCTGTTTGTTACTATTACTAGCATCCACCCACACACACACTCACTCACATGCACTTACACTTACACTTACACTTGCCCTTGCACTTACACTTTCAAATACATATACGTATATACTTTCACTTACAAATACATATACACATACACTTGTACTTACACTTACACTGACACTGACACTTACACTTACACTTACACTTACATATACACTTATACTTACACTTACACTTACACTTACACTTAAAAATACATATACACATACACTGATACTTACACTTTCACTTTCACTTACAAATACTTATACTTACACTTACACTTATATAATTATACTTATACTTATACTTATACTTATACTTATACTTATACTTATACTTATACTTACATATACATATACACTTACACTCACACTCACACTTGCACTTACACTTATAAACACGCATACACAGCCCATGACACACTCTCCGTGCATCCCACGACCCTTCAACTCATGGGAGAGCACCAGTTGATTGGTGGCGATGGCAGTGACGGTGATGTGGGCCGAGAGAATGTGCTGCGCATTCTTCGTACGCGTGTGGTGACGTCTCTGTTCATCGAGGGCAGCGAGAATAGGGAGCTGTTCCTGAGGTGCTACGAGGAGATCATGGGCTGCGTGTACCTGATGAAGAAGTATGTGAGAGAGATGGAAGCACGTGTGTGTGGGTGTGGGTGTGGGTGTAGGCCTGGTTAGTAGGTGTCTGTCGCTTTCTTTGTCTCTGTGTTTGTGTCTGTGTTGTGTTTGTGTGTATGTGTACCTTGTACCTTGTCATAGTTCATGTGTGTTTATAGTTATTTTGGAACAAGTGTGCTTGTGTTTCCGTGGTTAGAGAGATGTATGGGGCTGCTGCTTCTATCTTTAGAGTAAAGAAATTGTCTGTTTATATTTAAGAATATATATATATATATATATATATGCTTTATATACCATCCGCTCCTGTCCTAACCCCCCCACCCTCCCACTCCTCCAGAGACGAGTGGCTGCGTAAGTCGCAGAGCATCACTGAGATGATTGTGCTGCGTGAGTTTGTTGATCTGTGGGGTGCGTTGTATAAGGATTGGCCTGAGGGTACCTTAGTGCTACTGAGGACCGAGTGCTTGGAGAGACTGTTGGCGTACGGCTTTGACGTCCCGGAGGAGGCACAGGACTTCAAGTATGTGGATAAAACATCAAACCCTAGAGCCCTAAAACCCATCGGTCTGTATGTATGAATGTATGTATGTATGTATATATATATATATATAAAATAATTATATATAGTTATATATATATGTGTGTGTGTATGTGCGTGTGCGTGTGCTCATGATGTCAATGTGTAGATATAATCGCATTTCATAGAGTACTACCACGGAGTACAAAACGTATATGTCACTGATAAACGTACTATTCTTCTGATGGCAACGCAATCCAGAGTGAAGTCTCCGCACTGCGTGGCCGTGTACGGATCCTTTATGTCAGATAGCCACATACACGCGAATACGTACCACGGAGTACAAAACGTACCCGTCCCTGCCATACCTACTCGTTTCCCTGTCCAGAACATCGCTAGACACCTATAAACGTACTCTCCTTCTCTGTCTGTGGCCTACAAAACGTACAGATTGAAGGCTCAACACTGTCTAGCCGTGTACGCGTCCTTCATTGGAATGTTGGGCAGTCTGTGTAACAGCAGCGAGTGCAGCGCACAGTTGACAGCCGCCATTAAGTACCGTGAAGATCGGTTGTCATGGAAACGCTTCAAGGAGTTCATTGACGACTACGTGAGAGATCTGGATCCCTCGAGAAGAGCGTATGCGAATGGGGGGCGTATACCAGCACCAGCAGCATCCATGGGTACTTACACCCAGGTATGAGCACATCACTATGTCCTTCAGACGTACGTATATGTATATGTATCTATATATATATTTATATATATATATATTGTCTGTGTCTGTGTTGTGTCTGTGACTGTGTCTGTGTCTGTGTGTGTGTATATATATATATATATACGGTGCATTGCATGATAACATGTACATATGCAAGTATAATAGTATATAGGTATAGTGCAGTATGGGCCACGTATGAGAACATACGCCCTCGAGAAGATTGTATGCCAATGGCGAGTGTATACCCGCACTAGGACCAAGAGCGTACGCAGGTGATTGGGTTACTAACGCAAGGGTACTACTCTGCTGTAGGGTGGTAATTATGGCAACTACGATACCAGCGGTAACCATGGCAACTACGATCCACATTGGAATGGCTCGCAAGGCGGCTACGCCCAAAATCTGCGCCCCACTTTTGGCAGCCAGGTGTGTATTCACATGGATAGAACAAGTGCGCACAAGTGTGTGTGTGTATACAATGTATATATGTACAAGGAAAGTGTGCACACAAGTGTGTGTGTATATACAATGTATGTATGTACGTAGAAAATGTGCACACAAGTGTGTGTGTGTGTACAATGTATGTATGTACATGGAAAATATGCACACAAGTGTGTGTATATACAATTTATGTATGTACATGCAAAATGTGCACCAAAGTGTATGTGTGTGTACAATCTATGTATGTACACAATATGTACATATTATGACGTACACAAATTATGCATATATCCCCTTATAATACCAGCATCTGTATATATGTGCATATGTATCCTGGTATTATCAGTATGTAATATACGTATCATAGTATTACATATCTGTATATTTTTATATGTATGCTTGTACTACCAGTATCTGTATATATGTGCATATATATACTTGTATCACCAATATACCTACATATGTATATACGTATATATATGTGTGTATAGGTATACGTATATATGTGTATATGTATCCGTTGTGTTACCGGTCGTTGTGAAGTGGTGTGTCTCGAATGTTGTGCATCCCATTACGTTCCCCTCTACAAACGCATTGTTGTGTTCTTGTTTCCGGTGCAAATCATCTGTTGCATTGCATGCATCTTCCATTCGTTAAAATATTCGCTACTCTATATAATTTTTAGAAGTACTTGCGTATACATTTGTACATGTATGTATCTATGTATATGTTTATGTCAATGTATGTGTGTATGTATACGTATATGTGTATATATATATAATAGAGAAGTCTCACTCTTTGTCCTATCTCAGGTGTCGTCTGATCGATGTCTGAGTGAGACCGCCTACCTACCATGCTAATATGATTACCGTTTAACACTCACTTCATCAGAGAGCTTTTGAAGGCAACGGCTTCGGACAGCAACAACACACATTACAAGACACTCACATGTATGAGCGCAGAGACAGTGCACGTAATATGGACACCGCAAACGACAAGGATGCGGAGACGGATCAAGACATGCGTATGTAGATACGTGCTCAGTCTTTGGGAGTGTGTGCTCGGGTGTATATATGTATGTGTGTATGTAGATACGTGCTTAGTCTGTGGGGGTGTGTGCTCACGTGTATGTATGTATTTGTGTATGTCGATACGTGCACAGTCTGTGGGGGTGTGTGCTCACGTGTATGTATGTATGTGTGTATGTCGATACGTGCAGTCTGTGGGAATGTGTGCTGCGGTGTATGTAGATATATGCACAGTCTTTGGGAGTGTATGCTGGGGTGTATGTATGTATGTGTGTATGTCGATACGTGAACAGTCTGTGGGAGTGTGTGCTCAGGTGTATGTATGTATGTGTGTAAGTAGATACGTGCACAGTCTGTGGGAGTGTGTGCTGGGGTGTGCGTATGTGTATGTTGGTGTATACGATGTTACTATCTCGGGAGCATTTCCACTCGCGTACTACACTCCCACGAGAATGTGTGCATGTATGGATCACTATTCACGCTATAGTGTATGTGTTTCTGTATCAGTCACATTATTGTGCATGTGTTTCTGTTTTAATCCAATTAATGTGCATGTGTTTCTGTATTAATCCCATTAATGTGCATGTGTTTCTGTATTAATCCCATTATTGTGCATTGTGTTTCTGTATTAATCCCATTAATGTGTATTTGTTTCTGTATTGATCCCATTATTGTACAAGTGTTCCTGTATTAATCCCATTAATGTGCATGCGTTTCTGTATTAATCCCATTAATGTGTATGTGTTTCTGTATTGCCATTAATGTGCATGTGTTTCTGTATTAATCCCATTAATGTGTTTTGTGTTTTTGTATTAGTCACATTAATGTGTCTGTGTTCCTGTGAAAATCCCATTGATGGGCATGTGTTTCTGTATTAATCCCATTAATGTGCATGTGTTTCTATATTAATCCTATTAAGGTGTATGTGTTTCTGTATTGATCCCATTAATGTGCATCTGTTTCTATACCACTTTCACTATAATATATGTGTTTCTATATCTCTCCCATCTATTTACACATCATAGACCTACCTAAAATATCCTCACAGATAAATCTCTCACCTAAAGTGTATTTTTGTTTCTATATCCGCACAGCACAAATCGATCCCACGGATGAAAAGGGCCTGCGACTGATTCTGAGGCTCATCAGACGAGCATGTAGATACCCAGGTATGACAGTCACGAGGACACTGTGTGATAATATATATGTAATATATGTACTATATAGTATATATTATATGTGACAGGCATGAGAACACTATGTGTGGTATCATATATGTAATATATGTACTATATAGTATATATTATATGTGACAGGCATGAGAACACTGTGTGTGATAATATATATGTAATATGTACTATATAGTATATATTATATGTGACAGGCATGAGAACATTATGTGTGATAACATTATGTGCGATATCATATATGTAATATATATAGGATATATTATATGCGACAGGCATGAGAACATTATGTGTGACATATTATATATGTAATATATGTACTATATAGTATTCATTACGTATATATTATGTGACATGTATGATATGCGTTTGTGTATTCATTACGTATACGCTTATGAATGAAGAAATGTATGAACTGCGTGTATGTTTTCATTGCGTATATGCATACAAACGAAGACATGCACGAAGTGCGTGTGTGTGTATATGCAATACGTTGTATCATACCCAATAGACACACTCCTAAATTAAAAATGCCGTATTCCGATTGGTCCATTTTAACCGCAGACTCCGACGCCGTTAAACACATCGCCTACAAATGGGAGCCAGTGGGGCAACTGTTCAAACTGCTGACGTGTCGCATTCCACTGACACTGCGTGCAGCTGTCATGCGCACAATCGCCGCATTCGCCATCACACCCGCTCACGCCTATGAACTGTGGAGTGTTATGGATGAACACAACCTGCGTGATGTGTATGTGTGTGTGTAAAGATTGTGCGTGTATGTGAAAGGATATTTAGTTATATATATATATATATTGTATGTATGTATGTATGTACGTATGTATGTATCCAACTACAACGTTCCGCATCTCTACACACATATCAGCACATAACTAGTGGGATGTATATATACACACAGCCTGCGATACAACTACAACTACACCATGCCGCATCTCCACATACACATTATGTCCTCAGACACTCTTCAAATTATCAACAGTAGTCCACTCCAATACCGCCCCTGCGCCCATGTTATCGCCTGTCAATGCACACTGTTCGCACTTAGGCTTCTAGGGTTTTACAAACCCTAAAACTCTAAAACCCTAGAACCCTAAGATAAAGTATACCATCCCGGCATTGCATTCCTGGAGCTACTCCGCATGCTCTCAAATGCCACAGATCCACATTCCATAATCACTGATCCAATCAAAAGAAAGTAAAAACTACAGTGTTCGTACGCGCATATTTCATTTTAAACCACTTCTGTTTGGTACTCCGTTCTTATCTTAAAAATACAACTTAGTACATTTGTTTCTCCGATCTTATCCTAACCCACCAGCGTATCTTTGATTCTCCGTTCTTCTTTTAACCCACCTGCGTATCTTTGATTCTCTGTTCTTCTTTTAACCCACCTGCGTATCTTTGATTCTCCGTTCTTCTTTGAACCCACGTACGTATGCGTATGTCTCCATCCTCCCGTTGTCCCAGCGTGCTTGTGGACAGGCAGGCGTTAGAAGCCAAGGATGGCGTCTACCCCCTCACCATCGCATTCCTGGAGCTACTCCACGTGCTCCTAAATGCCACAGATCATTTAAAACTGACCAATACGCTGGGGCTGCCTCGCCGCGTGCCGGGGCTGGCGGCGTATCTGCGGTTTGTGGTCGATGTGTTTGTCTTAGCACAGGACGCGGCCTTTGTGTATGAGAGCGAGCGCTGGAAGGTATGTGCTTCAACGTTAGAGGTACACTCGGACGTACATTATACGTATGTATATGTTGGAGTGTATGCATGTTTTTGTGAAGTGTGTGTATAATGATGTTCTTTCCTGTATCTGTGTGTATACTGGTAAGTGTGTGCATGTAGTTCTGAAGTGTGTGTATAATGATGTTCTTCTATGTGTCTGTATGTATGTTGGTAATTGTATGCATGCAGTTGTGAAGTGTGTGTATAATGATGTTCTTGTATGTGTCTGTATGTATGTTGGTAGTTGTGAAGTGTGTGTATAATGATGTTCTTGTATGTGTCTGTGTGTATGTTGGTAATTGTATGCATGTTTTTGTGAAGTGTGTGTATAATGATGTTCTTTTCTGTATCTGTATGTATGCATGCAGTTGTGAAGTGTGTGTATAGTGATGTTCTTGTATGTGTCTGTATGGATGTTGGTAGTTGTATGCATGTAGTTGTGAAGTGTATGTATAATGTTGGGTCTGTTTACGCATGTTGCTCACTAAGTTGTATCTGAGCATTGAGGTTGTATCTCCATACACTCACTCACTTTTACCTACATTTAAGACAGAACTTCTAAGTTGTATCTGAGCATTGACCATACCATGACTGAGGTTATATTTCCATACACTCCCACACTTTTATCTACAATGCACCATGACTGAGGTTGTACCTCCATACACTCTCACACTTTTACCTACCTCCAAGACAGGACACTGCTGTTTGTATCTGAGCACTGCCCAAATATATATATAGCCCTTGTAGCCGCCCGTATATACCCCTATCCTCCCGTAGGGTTTAGGGGTTGTTTTACTTGCCATCCCACACTATTCCTGACACCCGTATGCCTGCCTACAGGTGTTCAAGCTGTGTTCGGGCATCTTCGAGGTCGTCCTGACTCAGTACAAAATCAGCCCAGCGCACTTCTACGACCGCTACTACTCACCCGACAACGCCTACACCGACGACCCACTCCTCCCACTGACCACACAGCAGGACCTGCAACAGCAACAGCAAACAAGGTAGGTATACTGCGCATGTCTATACGCAAACCGCAAACCCGGTTGATGCATGGTTATAAAAACCCTACAGATCTGTATAGTGTGAGGGGGAAATAGCAGGTGGCGCGATGGAGGTCAATCTGTAGACGGTTCACTTTATGTACCCATATATATATATGTATATGTATATCAAACATACTTACCCATCACATATTCAAACGTCCACACATACTCTCTAAAACGTCTCCCCCTACATACCCACTGCCACCTCCCATCACAGGTCCGCCTTCTCTGACCCGGATTCGTCACTGTATCCCGACGGGAGCCTCTCTGCAGACAGTTCGCTAATTGCACCCACGCACGTGTGCCAGAGTGAGCGCGCCAACCGACCACCCGGCATGCAGTTGCTGACTGAGTTTTTGACGGGAAACAAGCAGCCGCTGGTGAAGGGTGTTCTGCGATTGTTGGAAAGGGGTGTTTCTGCGCTCACGAGGGCCAAGAATATGGCCAAACGCAATGCACAGTGCAAGAAGCTGCATGCACGGGCTGAGGTGGGTGGGTGGGTTTTTAGGGTTTATGGCATATGAATTGTTCTATGGTTATATATATATATATATATATATATATATAGGTTAGGTGCATATAGTATGTTTCTATGTTATATATATATATATATATATATATATATATATGTGTGTGTGTGTGTGTGTGGCATATACACTCTTCTATGGTTACATGTGTGTGTGTAGCTATATAGACCACACAAGTATGTGCGAATGAGGTTGTTACTATCCCTAAGATGTGTGTGAGACCGTCTGAATATCCACTTAGGAAACTTTAGATCAGTCTGATACATCCAGATGTATTGCGTTCAGCCCCTTTTTAACGCAGCAAAGTGTTTTGTATTCTTCGCCTCTAGTGCACACTGTGCGGATGAGTCACTCTTTAACGCACGCTCTCCCGCACAAGAAAAGATACTGGATTGACGTGTTTTGACCCGTTGAAATCTTATATAGGCTGTTTATCCTATTTTAACCCAGATATGTATCCGAAGTTCTCTGCGTCTGATCCATGCGGTGCTGGTTAGTCAGGCGGATTTCATACACTTCGCCATTAGCGCCGGTTCAAAGAATTGTCTGCCCACACTCGTACCTTTGGAGAAGCACGTGATCAGCGCTGACAAGCATCCCGTTATGGGCCACACCAATAGCGGTACGTATTCTGATTGCAGCGGTACGTTTTCCGATTGCAGTGGTACGTATTCCAATTGCATTGGTACGTATTGCAATTGCAGTGGTACGTATTCTGATTGCAGTGGTACGTAATCCGATTGCAATGGTACGTATTCCGATTGCAGTGGTACGTATTCCGATTGCAGTGGTACGTATTCCGATTGCAGTGGTACGTATTCCAAATGCAGTGGTACGTATTCTAATTGTAGTGGTACGCATTCCGATTGCAGTGGTACGTATTCCAATTGCAGTGGTACGGCTCATGCACATTGATACTATGATCGAGCCTTTCTTCGACAGTATATGTTCTTTTACGTTTATTCATCACGTATTGCGTTTCCACAACCCCTCGGAATCTGTTGGGCCGATTCTCTCAGTCATGCACTGTCGAAAGACTTAACGCATTGAAGGGAATGGATTCTCATACACTTTAAGTACTGCAAACGCGACCTCTTTGTCACTCCTCAGTTCACTTGACCGTTTGCGATTATTGGGCAATTTCAAAGCCACGCAATAACTCCACATATTCCGCATCAGTCAAACCTATAGTCTGTAGGTCTCATACATGCGTACTCGCCATATTACGTTTTCGCATTTCCCGTAGTGTACTGGTCTGGTATCTAATACGTATATTCCATAAACTCTGTCACAGTCAAAACCTTATCCTTTTGCTCACCAGAAATTTGCGTTTTTGAAATACGTACTGTACTGGTCTCATATCCATTACGTTTATCCCACATCCTCTGTCACAGTCAAAGCCATTGCACAGTTCGTGTCGTACGATTGCGCAGAAATCGCCTCTCTGTCGGTGCGTATCATGACTCTGCTCTCGCAGGCACTAGTATCAGGGCCCAAACTGGTAGGTGACAAGGAGAAGTGTATATGAATACATCCATATACATGTGTTCATATATTATTAATGTAGCTGAAGGCATTGAATATATGTAAATATACAGACATAGACCGGCACATATGTGTGTGTGTGTGTGTTTGCGTGTGTGTGTGTATTCAGGTCTTTTTACGTCTACATGCCGATACTACGTCATGGCGGTGAGGTTGGTGTGTTTCTTAAAATGAACTTGGGAGTGAGTTTTCCGAACTTTGTTGTGATTTACAAAGATCTGGTACTGTGAGTACGCTCATAACCTCTGCCTTGTCACGTGAAAATTGTTTGTTTTGGATTTATATGCCTCATATCTACATTAAATCTACCTGCGCCATCATACCTACATTAAATCTACCTGCGCCATCATACCGTACTGTTCCTACCGTTGCTTCTATGTGTTGATTACGTTTCATACCTACCACATCTCTACCGATTCCCCCGAAACTTCTACTTGTGAATATAAGACTCGTGTACAATGGCGCACGTATTGCATCTGCAGGTACCTTTAGTGCGTGATACTCAGATCAAAGCAGAGTCGTACGTGATGGGCCACGTCTCGTCAATCGATAGCGATCGGTATGGCATGCGATAGTTGTATTGTGAGTTTTCTGCGTATGGACATGTATATATGAAAGTATATGCATGTCTGTATGTATGCATGCATGGATGTATGTACGAATGTAAGTAAGTATGTATGTATGTATGTATGTATGTATGTATGTATGTATGCATGTATGCATGTGTGTTTGTATGTATGTATGTATATGTATATGGATTCATATATATATATATATATATATATATGTTTTTGTGTGTGTGTATTATACTAGGTACACGAATTCGATCATGCAGATTTTACACATCGAACGCCTTGCCTTTTCTCCCATTCCAAGCCCTTCGACGCTTCCTCTCTTGAACCCATAGTTCTATTTATATCCATACCTATCATTTGTTCTATTAATATCCATACCTACCATTTATTCTATTTATATCCCCGCCTAATTCTGATCCTATCTCGTTTTCAGACGCGACTTCATGATGGGCTATGTACAGCGTCTGGTGCAACGCGCACCACGTGTGCCCACACTCGACACAGCACACACCCGACACAGCGACAAATACACCCGCGACAACAGGCTCACACGCACTGGCACGGGATCAACTACACGCCCTGATGCGGCAAAGGTGTGTTGTGCTATATATATATATATATATATGTGTGTGTGTGTGTGTGTGCGTGTGTGTGTGTGTGTGCGTGTGCGTGTGAGTATATATATACCTGTATGTACCAGTTTGTTCTACATATGCATATCTGTGTGTATGAAGTTGTATAGCAAGTACCCGTGTGAGAACAGTCCTATCTAAAGTAGCAGCGGACTACGTGCACACACGCCAATACATCAAAGGTGTAGGTGTGCTGCATCTATGCCTCTGTGAATTAATAATACCTACATGAAGTAATAATATCTATGAGGTAGATGTACCTATATTGAATATATATATAGCTATATGAAGTAAACGTACCCATATTTAGTAGGCATACACCTATATGAAGTGAATGCACCTATATGAAGGAATAATGCTTATATGAAGTAAACATATCACCCACCCCTAATCCAATCACAACCCCCACCACCCGTAGAGGTGATGTGCCACTGTCTACCGCTAGCTAGCCTTGCTCACTCGGTTGTCCTAGTTTGTGGGGCCCAGTCCTAAATCACTCACCCCAGGACACCCGTGGGATTTAGGGCTTAAACCCCTAAACGACACACCCGAGAGGAACCATGACATCCCTTTATGCGCACGCATGTGTTATCAGAGCCACACACATACTTGCCAACTGACATGTGCTTATTGACTAAGATGCCGCACACATACACACACACGCTCACTCACTCTCACACACTCTCACACACTATGTAAAACACTGTCTATAGATATGTGACAAACTCTCTCTCTCTCACACTATATAAAACACTGTCTATAGATAAGTGACCAACACACTCACTCATTCTCACGCACTATATAAAACACTGTCTATAGGTAAGTGACCAACACACTCACTCACTCTCACACACTATATAGAACATGTCTATAGATAAGTGACAAACTCGCTCACTCACTCTCACACACTTTATAGCACACTGTCTATAAATAAATGACAACTGAGAGCAATGAGTTTACAGAGGTGGATTTAATAAGCATACACTATAAATCACATGGGTGGCGACACCTTTCCTGTGACTAACACTCTCACACACACACACGCACACACGCACTTCAGGATCAAAATTTGCCGCACACCCCCAGCCACGACATCCTGGAGGAGATAGTGCAGCTGCTAATCGTCAACCTCACCGACGTTCCCTTTCCCAACGTCGCTCACTACATCCTCGGATACGACCTCAACACACCCGAAACCACTGATTTGCGACGCGAACGGTCGTGTCTGTATCATATCCACGCCATGGTGCAAATGGGCGTGCACGAGCGGAGCGGGCGTTCCCATGGCAACGGGGGGGGTGGGGTAGGTAGGGATGGAGACCGGATGTATGAGGCGTATATGGGCACGCAGACACTCACCGGCACAGGGGCGAACGGTGGCAGAGGTCAGCGGATGGGCCGAGGAGAGGAAGGGGAGACACTGTTCCAGTTCAACCCCAAACTCAGCGAACTATGCTACCGCCTCATCTACCTACTGTGCACGCAGGTATATTATTACACCACACAGACGTAAACCCTACACCCTAAACCCTACTGTGCACGCAGGTATATAAGCAGACCACACAGACGTAAACCCTACACCCTAAACTTTGTCGTATATTCTGTGACACATGTCGTATACTCTCCTTCCTGTCGTATGCAGAGTAGGACATCTGTGGCCACTCTTCTTTTGTCGCATATTCTGTGTCACACGTCGTACACTCTCCTTCCTGTCGTATGCAGAGTAGGACATCTGTGGCCACT